AAAAAAAACAGCTGGTTCTTTGAAAAGATCAATAAAATTGATAAGCTTGCAGCAAGACTAACAAGAAAAAAAGAAAAATAATAATAACAGGAATGAAAAAAGGGGCACCAGTACAAACTCCAGGGACATTAGAAGAAGTTGAACAACTCTGTGCAGATACGTCCAACAACTTAGGTAAAGTGAACAAATTCCTCCAAAACTACAAAGTACCAAAACTCACCCAAGATGAAGCAGATATTCTGATTCCCCCTATAACTACTAAAGAAGTTGGATTTGTAGCTTTAAAATGTTTCATAAAGGAAGACTTCACTCCCAAATCATTTATTGCTGAATTGTACAAAGTATCTGAAGAGAGGAAAAAACAATTTTACTCAATAAAAAAAATAACCCTTTTCTAACTGCTTTTATGAGACTAGGATTACTCTGATACTAAAACTAAAGACATAAAATAAATGAAAACTACAGACCAATATTTCTCATGAACATAGATGCAAAAATCCTCAACAAAATATTAGCAACTCAAATTTAAAATATATATAAAAAGAACACGATATCAAGAGTAAGTGGGACTTATTGAGGAACGCAAGACTAGTTTTATATTCAAGAGCAATCAATGCAATCCCAGCATGGTGGGAGACCGGGCAGGAGGATCATCTGAACTTAGGAGTTCAAGACTAGCCCCAGCAAGAGTGAGACTCTGTCTCTACCAAAAATAGAAAAATTAGCTGGGCGTTGCAGCACATGCCTATAGTCCCATCTACCCCAGAGGTTGAAGCAGGAGTCACTTGAACTCAGGAATTTGAGGTTGCTATGAGCTGAGCTGATGCCACAGCACTCTAGCCTGGGCAACAGAGTGAGACTCTGTCTCAAAAAAAAAAAAAAAAAAAAGCAATGCAGTTCCCCATCTGAGCCTAAAAAGAAAATTGTGATCATATCAACTGATTCAGAGAAAGCATTGGACAAAATTCCATATTCATGAGAAAGGTCTCAGGAAACAGGAATGGAAGAGAATTTACTCAACCTGATCAATGGCATCTACAAAACAACAACGTTACATCAACTTACTGGTGAGAGACAGAGACCTTCCCCCAAGAGCAGGAACACGATAATACTGGATTTTTAACACTGGATTTCCAGGCTCTTGGTCTCGATGATTCGATGAATGAATCGACTGACCATAGAATGAACAGTGAGGTTTTATTTACAGCTCAAAGAGCCAAACCTCCTTGCAGGGCAGGATACAAGTGTTACAACTCTTATGAAAACAACTCTTACAAAGAGCCAAGCCTCTTTGTAGAGCAGGATAGATGTGCTACAGCTCTTACAAAGGACCAAGCCTCTTTGCAGGGCAGGATCAGCAAAGGACCAAGACTCTTTGTAGGGCAGGATCAGCAGCGGAAGTGCTACAGCTCTTTACAAAGAACCAAGCCTCTTTGCAGGGCAGAGATCAGCAAAGGGCCAAGCCTCTTTGTAGAGCAGGATCAGCAGTGGAAGTGCTACATCTCTTACAAAGGACCAAGCCTCTTTACAGGGCAGAGATCAGCAAAGGGCCAAGCCTCTTTGCAGGGCAGGATCAGCAGCGGAAGTGCTACAGCTCTTACAAAGAACCAAGCCTCTTTACAGGGCAGAGATCAGCAAAGCACCAAGCCTCTTTGTAGAGCAGGATCAGCAGCGGAAGTGCTACAGCTCTTACAAAGGACCAAGCCTCTTCGCAGGGCAGAGATCAGCAAAGGGCCAAGCATCTTTCTAGGGCAGGATCAGCAGCAGAAGTGTTACAGCTACAGCTCTTACAAAGGACCAAGCCTCTTTGCAGGGCAAGATCAGGAAAGGACCAAGCCTCTTAGTATAGCAGGATCAGCACTAGAAGGGCCACAGCTCTAGCTTCTTCCTTCCTCAAAGTCACCAAAGTCTTGTTCTTCTTCCTCCAAGGTCTGCAACGATCTACCCCCAGGCTCTCTGCTCAGGGTCTTATATAGGTGTAATAGCTTAGCTGTGATTGGTCCCTAAAATGGACCAATCAGGAGCAGGATTGAAAATGGACCAATCAGGGATGGGCACCAGTTTTCCCTTGATCGACAGGTCCTCCAGCGCTGCTCTACTGGAGCCTCTGGGGGAAGAAATCTCCCCTGATTGCTCCAGCCTGCGGGTTACTTTGCCAGCTGCTGCCACCAAGACAGAAGTGGCAGGTCCCCCAGGCCCTGCTCAGAGCTGGCTGGGGTGCCACTTTTCCGGTATCAGCGACATGGTTGCCTATGCTCACTACTCCCAGCCCACACCGCACAGGAAATTCCAGTCAGTAAAGTCAGGGAGGAACTACAGTCACTTAGCCTGGAAAGAAAGAACTAAAACTGTTCTTCTCTTCAGAGGATATGATCAGAATAGAAAATTCCAATCAATTTACCAAAAAAAGAAAAAAAACCCAGAGTGGATTCAGCAAGGTAGCAGGATCAAGGCCGTCTTATTCCTACACACTAGTAATGAGCAAGTGGAAATTAACATTTAAAAAAATACCATTTACAATAGCTCCCCAAAATGCGATATTAGGTATAAATCTAACAAAGCATATACAAGATCCATCTGCTGAAAACTACAAAATGCTGAAGGAATGAAGCAAAGAAAACCTTAAAGAAAGAAAAAGATGTACTCTGGTATGGATGGGAAGACCCAGCACAGTAATTGATCTGTAGACTCACTGCAATTCCAATGTAAACTGCAGCAGGTTTATTTCCTTATTTATTGAGACAGAGTCTCACTTTGTTGCTCTTGGTAGAGTGCTGTGGCATCATAGCTCGCAGCAGCCTCAAACTCTTGGGCTGAAGTGATCCTCCTGCCTCATCTTCCCAAGTAGCTGGAACTATAGGCACGTGCCATAAGACCCAGCTAATTTTTCTATTTTAGTAGAGATGTGGTCTTGCTCTTGCTCATGCTGGTCTCGAAATCCTGAGAGCAAGCAATCCACCTGCCTCAGCCTCTAAGCAGTTTTTTTAAAATCATATAAACAAACTTATTCTGAAAGTTATACTCTCATGCAAAGGAACCAAAATACCCAAAGCAATTTTGAAAAAGAAAAAGTGGGAGGACTCACACTACTCAATTTTAAGACTTATTCTGCAGCAGCAGTTATTAAGACGGTGTGGTACTGACAGAGGGATACGTTGATCAGTGGAACACAATAGAAAGTCCAAAAATAGGTCCATGTGATTACGGCTGGTTTTTGGCAAAAACGCAAAAGCCATTCCATGAAAAATGAATAATCTTTTCCACATATGGGCTTGGAACAACTGAACATCTGGAAGCAAAAATACCAAAAACAATAAAAAACAAACCTTGACCCGAGCCTCACACCTTCCGCAAAAAATCATTCAAAGTGGATCATAGATCTAACTATAAAAGATGTGAAATCATAAACATAGGAGAAAAATTTCATGAAAATTAGAAAAAACATAGGAGAAAATATTCATGACTGGAGGAAAGGCAAAGAGCTCTTCAACGTGCCACAAAAAGCACATCTATTCAAGGAAGAGTTGATAAATTGACTTCATTAAAATCAATGATATTTGCTCTGCAAATGACATTGTTAATGGAATGAAAGGACAAGCTACAGACTGGGAGAAAATGTTTGCAATCACATGTCCCATTCTCCTTATCCAGAATGAGAACTCTCAGAATTCAAAAATAAGGAAAAAACCCGAAGCGGACATTAAAGAAGGCAGATGTCCAGTCTGTGCGGTATCATTAGGCGTCAGGGACATGCACAGGAAAGCCATCATGAAATGCCGTGACCCCCTTAGTGGAATGGCAAGGTGTGAAAGGAATACTGGCAACAGGGGTGCCGGCGAGGATGCAGCCGACCTGGAGTTCTCATTCGATATGCAAGTGGCACAGCGGCTCCGGGAAACAGTGTAGCAGATTCTCATAAAGTTAAACATTAACGCTTGCCATTTGAGCCAACCACACCCCAAACAAACCACTTAGGTGTTTAACCTAAAGAAATGGTTTGCACAGAAACATACAAATGTTTATAGCGGCTCTGTTTATATTCACCAAAAACTGGAAACGTCCTTCAATGGGAGATAGATAAATAAACCGTGGTACAGCCACACCACTCAGCAACAAAAAGGAACACACTATGGGTGATGCGAACAACTTACATCCATCTCAAAAGTACTGGACTGAGTGAAAGAAGCCAGCCTCAAAGACGGCACTTCCAGGGATCATTTTCATAGTTCATTCATTACTGGAGAAGCTTCTCTGAACGTGTAGAGCACAGTTCCTCAGGCAGCGTTCTCCCCTCAGCCTCAGGCCGGCTCTGATGTCACTTTGCTGCAGCTGCCATTTGCAATTGATGATCATGCTTCTCTTCCTTTGGGGCAGCTAGAGGGAGAGGACGCAGTCTAAGTGGTTCCTTTAATAAAGAAGAAAAAAAAAAGGTCTCAAAAAGTTACAGGCTGCATGTTTCCATTCACATGACATTCTCAAAAATACAAAACTAGGCCGGGTGCGGTGGCTCACGCCTGTAATCCTAGCACTCTGGAAGGCCGAGGCGGGTGGATTATCTGAGCTCCAGAGTCCAAGACCAGCCTGAGCAAGATCAAGACCCTGGCTCGGTGCCTGTGGCTCAAGCGGCTAAGGCTCCAGCCACATACACCTAAGGTGGAGGGTTTGAATCCAATCCGGGCCCGCCAAACAGCAATGATGGCTGCAGCCAAAAACAAATAGCTGGGCATTGTGGCGGGTGCCTGTGGTCCCAGCTACTTGGGAGGCTGAGGCAGGACACTTGCCCAGGAGTCAGAGGTTGCTGTGAGCTGTGATGCCACAGCACTCTACACAGGGGGACAGCTTGAGGCTCTGTCTCAAAAAAAAAGATCAAGATCCTGTCTCTAAGAAATAGCCAGGCATCGTGTCCATGAGTCCCAACTACTCAGGAGAGCGAGGCAAGAGAATCACTTGAGTCCAGGAGTTTGAGGTTGCTGTGAGCTGTGACGCCACTGCACTCTACCAGGAGCAACAAAGTGAGACTCTGTCTCAAAAAAAAAAGAAAAAAAAATACAAAACTAAAATGACAGACAACAGACCAGCAGTTGCCAGAGGGTGGGACTGAGGAAAGGGTGTGATGACAAAGTGATAGCACAAAGGAATTGTTTGAGGGGGTGGGACTGTGATGACCCTGACTGTGGTGGTGGTTGGGCAAACTTATACATGTGTCAAAATCTATACAGCTTTACAGCAAAAATAAGTCAGTTTTATTGTATTTTAATTCCAAATATAAAATTGAAAAATATGGAACCCTAAAAATATCAGTATAGAATAGCAAGAGCTGCCAACATATAGTTCTAAAAAGAACTTAATCAATGTTTTTAAATAAAAATATTTTTCTTATCATAAAAATGACAAGTTCATTATAGAAAATTAGGAAAATCAAAGACACATAAAGAAGAACACTAAAATTATTCTTTAAATCAGTTTCCCAGAGACAACCACTGTTATTATCTTGGTTTTTATGGCTTTTGATACATATTATATATTGCCCTTTATAAATCAGTACCGATGTATCTTTCTACCTACAGTGAGTGGAAGTCTTTATTTCTCTGCATTTTCCCAAATACTGACTTTTTTTGAGACAAAGTCTCACTCTGTCACTCTGGATAGAGTGCAGTGCTGTCCTTATAGCTCATAGCAACCTCAAACTCATGGCCTCAAGCAATCCTCCTGCCTTAGCCTCCAGAGTAGCTGGAACAACACCTGGCTGATTTATGTATTTTTTAGTAGAAACAGGATATCACTCTTGCTCAGGCTGGGTCTCTCTCTCAAACGCCTGAGCTCAAGTGATCCTCCTGCCTTGGCCTCCCAGAGAGCTAGGATTACAGGTATGAGCCACTGAACCCAGGCTATTATTTTTTTGAAACTTTACCAATATGGCATATGTAAAAGGTTTATATTTATTTTCATGTGTATCTTTTGACTTACTAACAAAGGCGAATGTTTTCAACTCACTTACTGGCCTTAGAAGATAGGATTTTCAAAAAGCTTTAATAAATCTATCAAGAGTCCAGATGTAATGTAATATCCGTTACTCAGCTGCTCAAGCCTCCATTGTCTCACCTGTGAAATGGGGACAATAACACTGCCCAAGTCGTTGCATTGAATTCCCTGGATTACCTCCCACATAAACCCTTGCTTCCTTCCCTCCTACCAGATCTGTTTGCTCCTGGCCATCCCCATTTTAAAGATTCGGGATCCCATGAAAAGGAAGGAAGTCCTGATCCTTGTTACCATGTGGATTAACCCCACAAACATCACTAAGTGAAAGAGACATACACAAAAGGCTGCACATCGCAGGGTTCCATTTACATGAAATATCCTGGATGGACAAATCCACAGGGCCAGGAAGCTTTCCAGTGGTTGCCAAGGATAGGAGACTAAAGGGATTGGGAAGTGACCCCTTACTGGGCACAGGATGTCTTGGAACTAGCTTGAGCGGGTACCTACACAACGGTGCAGTTGTCCTAAATGCCTCCAAATTGTGTTCTTGAAAAAGGCTAATGATTAACTTCACATTACATGAATTTTACCTCAATTTAGAAAGCAAACCATGAGAGGGACAACTACACTGACAAATGTCCAGCTCGATTTATCAGAGTTTACATTCTTACTGAATTATTGCTCGTTGTGTCAGAAATGGATAGCGTCAGGAAAAGTGTTGGCCCATTTTCTGCTGCCCTAACAGAATAGCACAGATTGGGTGATTTGTACACAGAGGAAATTCATTTCTCACAGTTCTGGAGGCTGGGAAGTCCACTATCAAGGCGCTGGCATCTGGCAAAGGTCTTTATTCTATTTCCTCCCAGGAGGAAGTTGGAAGGACACACAGGTGTGAGAGAAAGAGAGAACTCACTCCTAAAGACTCCTTTTCTTTTTGTTTTTTTATTTATTTTTATTTTTATTTCCAAGGCAGAAAAGCACGTTTTATTGGAAGTCTGGGCAGTGTAAGGAGTCTGTGTGGACATAGCTGGAAAGGAGGCAGTGGACTTGGCGGTGGGCACACAGGTGGTGGGTGGGAGGCGGCAGGTGCCAAGGGACTCCTGGCAGAGTTCCAGTGCACCAGGTGTTTCTACCACCTGCGCTGGACGGCAGATGGAGCTGCGGAACGCGGCTGCGGAAACCTCTTCATCAGGTTCCCCAGTCTTCTGCTGCTGGTTGAATTTACACTGGTATCTTTTACTGAGCACGATAAGGATGTCCAGGATGAAGAGGATCCCAGCGATGGTGAGGTCTCCGATTCTCAGGGAGTGATAGTCATAGGTGAACGGGTCATGTTCCTTCTTTGAACCTTCTGCGTCAGCCGTGACAAGAAGACCCACACAGAGAACCAAGATGTGGCGAAGAGATGCCATTATCCCCAGTCATTCTGTCCCCTGCGGAAAGAAGGCCCCCAAATGTCCTGCTGTGCCCTGGGGACTGAGCACTTTGGACCCCCTGGCCCAGAGCTAGATGCACCGCCCCCTGCAGGCTCCCCTCCCAGCCCCACCCTCCCTTTTCTTTTTAAAATGCATTAACCCACCTGTGATGATGGAGCCTTATGGCCTAATCGCCTCTTAAAGGGCCTACCTTGTAATACGTCCTATTAGAATAGCAATTAAATTTCCACATGCATTTTAGACGGGACATTCAAACCAAAGCAGGAATAAAAAAATCTGTTTTTCATCATTTAAGGTATGGATTTGCTAAATATTCCAAGCCTATTCCATTGGATATAATTCAGTTTTGTCTTTCATATTAGTAGAATACTTACAGCAATAAGGTGAAAACTATATATATGTTTTCAATTATCAAAATACACACAAACACATGCAGAAGATTAGGGGGACAGACACTGCACAGAGTCACCAGCTGGCACTTGTGCTGGGTTCGAGCCTGGTCTGGCTGAGGCCAGGCGTGGGGTTGGTGATGTGCTGCTGTGATGGACAGCAGGGACAGGGGCTCTGGACAGCTGAGTGTCCTCCGGGCTGCTCCTTGGAGAAGACACTCCCACTTGTCAGAAATGAAGGGACACACAACAAATCATTTCATTTCCCTTTATGGGAAACATCGTTTCATCATCCATCTCTGTCCCCTGCATCTTTCTAACCTCCCAATTTTCCTCTGGCGCTGAGCAAAGCTCCACCCCCTGTGTGTTGGGTATTGATCTGGGGAATTTCCAGGTATTGATTTTAGTGACAGAGACTACATAGAGCTGGGATGGGGTCCAGCTTCTCTGTTTATCTTGCTGTGCGTGTCCTTATGGCTCCTGAAAAGGAGTGTGGGGAAGGGGCAAGGCTCAGGCTAATTCTCAACACACACCCACCCCAGACCTGCTTAGCAGCTTTGCCTGTGGGATCAGAGACCACAAACTCCCTGGACCCCACTGAGTAGGAAGCAGGGGCTTCTTGTTGTCTCACCAAGTGTCTTTTTGTGCCTCCAAGATGTTAGATGCTTTGGATGCTCTAGAGACAGCCCCCCACCCCCCAGGGAAAGTTGCAGGGGGACCTGGAGGCTGGCAGGGCAGAGCCAGGCTGGCACAGGAAAGCCTCCTGACTCAAGGTATTCTCTCTAGAACTATGGGCTTGGCCTGGGTCTTCAGTACAGCTGTGTCCATGGCCCAGGAATAACAAGTGGTGGCTCAGGGGCTAATTTTCCTAGACCAAAATTAGACCCAGTGAAGGGGCAGCAAATCTGGGCTGCAGAGAAGTGGATGATAATAGTAATGTCTGTGCTCCCATGTGTGAAAGGCCTTCAGATACATCGTCTCATGGATGCTTACCAATAGCCCTGTGAGGAATATATTTCCATCATCCCCACTCAAAGACACTGAGGCTCAGGGAGATCCATACTCAGTGTTACCCCACATGGGACCACTGGTTGAGGTGGAGTGGCCTGGAACCCAGAGAGAGAACATTAACCACTAGTTATGTTGCAAAATGAAAGATTCTGGGAAAAGAGGGAAGTTCTATCCTCCCCCACCTCCACCCCTACCTCTATTTAATTTACAGCCAGACAGTAAAGCAAGTGTGGTGGCTTTGAGACATCTTAAAACCAGCCAGAAGAACCAGCATTCCCAGTCTCCAGCTGCCTTTGGTCTCCCAGGCCTCCCTGGCCAGCCGGTGGTCATGGATTCCCTCCATGTGGGGGAAACCCTTCTCCTGCCCTGACTGGCCAGGAGGTGAGGATGGTGCCGGGGACCTCGTGGGCCTCAAGGTTGTGGGAGTAGCTGGCTCCTTGTCTCCCTTTGCTTCTTAGAGGACCCAGGGCAGAAGCCAGACAAGGACACCCCCAGCCCTGCAGGGAGCCCTAGGTCTGACTTGTCTTTGTATCAAGAAGTTGGCATTTCCTCACAGGAGGGCCTGTGGCCTGGTGGAAAATTCCA